ACTGTTATGTCAGTCAGTGATTAGATTGTCCACGTTTACAGTAATATAGGTTGCTTACACCTGGAGTACTTTGGTATTGTAATTCGTAATGCAATTCCATATTCCTTAAGTGAAATTGCAGAACAGAAGGGGGCCATTCTTCCCATCCAGTTTATTCTGTACTACCTCCTCCTCCATTTAATCTAATTTCTCTAATGCCAATTCCCTGCACTTCCTCCATACCATTTTATATTCTGTGTTTCAAATATATACCTAAACCCTTTTGCACTATTGCTGTGGTCTCAGCCTCATTGAAGAGTTAAGGGAAAGCATTCCAAGTTCTGACAGTTTGTGGGTGAAACATATCCTCTTATCTCCCCCTTGACTCCCTCAGTTACAATCCTGATCTTACGGCCCCATGTTACTGATTTATTACCCAACTAGCGGGAATAATTTTTCACTGTCTAACCTTTCAAAACCTCTCAGCACTTTAAATACCTCTGTTAGTTCCTTTCTTATCCTTCTCCATTCCAGTCAAAACAATATTTGTTTTTCAAACCAATCTTAAGAAATATAACTCCTCATCTCTGCTTATATTGCTGTGAACCTATCTTAATAATACAATACATTTTGTGGAGTCCTGTAGCTCAGTGGTTAGAGCACTCGCTTTGCAAGCGAGAGACCTGAGATCAATAACAGGCAGGGTGAAACCTTGGGCAAGTTTCCTTACTCCACACGCCTAATAATAATCCCTCCAAAAACCAAAAACAATAATAAATTGGTCATTTTCAATCTACGACTGTTTGTGGGACATTGCTGTGCGCAATTGGCTGCCGTGTTCGCCCACAAATATACAGTCAATTCCCTTTACAGTGTGTTCTGTGAAGCGCTTTGGGACGTCCTCCCGACGTGAAAAGCGCTATATCAAATGCAAGGATTATTATTATTATTATTTATATAGCGGCTTTCCTGTCAGGAGAATGTCTCAAAGCGCTTTACACTACTGGCTCGGCACCTGTGCTGGGGACAGTAGCCCAGCGAGGTGGGGAGAGGAAAGATGACTGAAAGCACAGTCAAAGAGTAAGTCTTCATGTGGGGAGAGTGGTAGGAGAGAAGAAGCGAGTGAGAGTAATGAAGGATCAGACGGGCATGGTCAGCCCTCTGGCATGGATGGAGCCAGGGGAGACAATAATCCTCGCATTTGACATAGCACCTTTCATGTTTTATTTCAAAGCACTTCACAGAATTAACAATAAAGTCCAGTGACTGTGCATTTTGTAGGCAAAACACAGCATCCAATTTGTGCACAGCAACATCCTAAAACAGCCATGAAGTGAGCATTGTACCTTTTTCAGTAGCTTTGATGTCCCTTTCCTCGTGGGACATCCAGAACTGCATGCAGTACTCCAACTCTAGCCATTTGCGTATGGTAGTCAGTAAGTTGGTTATTCAAACCTGAAGTTATTTAGTAGTGCTAGTCGATGTTTAGATTTGTTGAATGAATTATTCACAAATACAGTAGCTCACTGCAATCTGATATGCATATGCACATCTTCTTTGTGTCTTGTTACTAATAAAGAAATTATATGAATGAATATTTCTGTAACAGTAACCTGTCCTTTTCACTGTGACTATTGATATATGAGTACCCAACAGCATTTCAGCTTGGCTCAGTTGGTAGCACATTCGCTGTTGAGCAAGAAGGTTGTGCATACAGGCCCCACCTCAGGAATTGAAAGTCAATCTAGGATGGCACTTCAGTTAAGTAGTGGGAGAAAACTGCATTGTTGGAGGTGCCATCTTTCAGATGAGATGTTAAAGTGGGCAAGAGAAGTGGGTCTCTCACAGTGTCCAATAATCCCCCAGGTAAAATCATAAAATGACCCATGGTTATGTAGAAATTGTCTGCCATGTTCACCTACAAAATACACTGTGAAAGATTCATAGATACACAGACATAGAAACAGGATAAGGCTATTCAGCCCCTCAAGCCTGTTCCACCATTTTATAAGATTATGGCCAGTTACTCGCCCTTGCCCCATATCCCTTATTGGAGCCACTATTCACTTAATAGTAAAGCTTTGAGAAGTCTTCCTGACTTGAAAGGCATGATATAAAAAATACAAGAATTAAAGGCTCGGTGGGCTGAATGTCCTCCACCAATGAATTTCTATAAGTTTCTCTATTTGTTATTTCTTGAATCAGTCAGTTACTTTGAAATGCGTGTCATTGCAAAAAATACCACCAGCTAACCACCAGGATATATGTTTCAAATTACAACTTGCAGAGACATACTGTACAAAAGTGAAGTGAATTATTAAACACTAACATGTTTAAACTCCTATATTATCCTCAGCTAAAAGTGAATTATGTTGAGAAATCTTCATTGCGCCCTTTGCTTTTGCACATTACTTAATGATCTATAGCCCTTTCTACTGAATATTTAAAATGCTTTATTGTACTTTGAGATGTGTAAAGCACAGCACCAGTATTATTATATGCCACAATTCCTGAAATGTGATCATGTTCTCACATATTTCATGGACTAACTTGGCAGGTAAATGAGATCTTGCCTTAAATCAACATTATGTTGACAGATGGATTCCTTGGAAATAGAATATACAGGGTTAATTGCAGGGCTTTGTTCTACACATCAATAAAAGCTTTCTACCGGCAATATATTTTAAGTTTGCATAACAAGAGTACAGTACTGATATTTAATACATTGAACAGTACTTTGTTCTAGGCAGGATAGATTAGGGACAAAGGAAATAGTTCAGGCTGTACGCAGCTTCACCTGCATTTGCTCAGTTGAATGACCTAACTTGTTTTTCCACATTATTCCCTTTAATATTGTGTTGTTAAAATCTATGTGAATTGTGCGCACTGCCATGTACAGCGCTGAAGTTAATGCTCCATTTTCTTTGTTGCCTATTAAACCTATTCTCGCAGCTCTCTGAGCTTAAAAACGTCAGAGGCCAAAATTGTCATCTAGTCTTAGCCTGTAAAACCAAGTATTTTTGTCCTAAAATTTATCAACGTGCAAAATTGTAGAAAATTCTTAAGTTCAATTTTAGTTTGGAAGCCAGTTTTCTGCAGTTCTGAAACGAAAAAGAACCAGCTTCCACATTAAAACTGAATTGAAGGATGTTTGATCAATTTGCTTATTCTTAAATTTTAAGGCAAAATGGTCCTGCATCTAAAACTAGATGAAATATTGGGTATCAGGAGAATCCAAATCTTACCTCAATTTCTGGGGTATTTAGGGATTTAGGGATCTTTGACTGTGAGATTTAGATTCCTTCACAATTTCCCAATGTACAGCCTTGAGAATTATAAGGCATCAACATCGGTCTATGCACTTATCTCAACAGGAAAAACTTCTCATATACGAATGGGGCAACTTCCGTGACATTTGAATGCTCTTATGATGTCATAGAAACTTGCTGCGTTGACTTGCAGTGCATTACAATACAGTTATTTTTTATACAGTTCTTAAAGAGGTTTAAAACTTTACTTTTATTGTTAGAAACTCTTTCAATGTCTATCGCTGTCTATGGGTTTTTGCCCCGTCTGTGGTTGTCCTATTCCCTTCAACTGGCGGAGACTGGGCTGTGTTGCCATCTGTGATTGAGGAGCCAGGTGGGAGGAGGGGTCAGTCGTGCTCTGCTCCAAAGCTGAAAATGTCGGTTACACAATGCTTTATTTAACAATTGAAAGTATTCCCAGCGAGGGCCGGCAAGTTCAAATGACAGTCGAAGCTTCCCATTATTTCAAAGTGTAAACTACCATTACCGTGCCTTTGGCTGGAGGACATGTGTTGAGGCTGAAGTTGATGTTTACAGCTGAGTGGAACTCCAGCCCTCAATCACTTGTGTTTTGGAAATTCAATATAATGGCAACACATTTACTTCATTATGCTGGTTGTGTTGACACGTTGTGAATTCAAGGTATCAATTCAGCCCCCTTCTTATCATCCACAATATGTTAGTATAATATGGCCAGGTTGATTTCCACGGGTACATAAAGGATATGTTTTTTGAATCCCATTTTAAGGGAAAAGTAGTCCTAATGAGCAGAGTGAGCAGAGTGGTAAAGTCATTAAGGAGATTACCTAGTTGCAATTACTATTAAACATAATTTCCATTCAAAACACTGAAATACAGTGTCCCATTTTCAGTTGATTCCCAGTTTATACAATACTTCAATGCAATTTTTTGAAGCATAAGTTTTAAAAAATATTACAATTGAAGTGGGTGGAAAGGGTTGCTATGAAGGCGTGAAAATTGCAATTTTCGTAGCAGATTGAATGTAATGTTTTCACCCATAATTATTACATCCAATCAGTTTGGTTTAGATACTCTTAAGTATGGTAATGGGTTTCCACACTTGTCAGACACCTGGCTGCCAAAAACAAATTATTTAGAAGCACCTGAATTTGCAATCTATTCCGAAGAGCTGGTATGAATCCATTTCCCCTGACTTCAGCAAAATATTGATTTATCCGCACATCTCCACCATTCAGCCTTGGCCTCCTTGTCTCCACAACATAACCCTCCTCACCCATTGCCCACTGCCACCCATCTCCAGCAGCTCACTGGCCATTGTTTCCAGTGAAGAATTTGCTCATCTCACTCTGGCACCTGGAAGCTTCATTGTACATCTCAAGCAGTTATTTATCCAGCTCTTTTTTTCGTTTGAAGGAGTAAATTAATGCAGCATTAACTGTACTTTCGGCAGTCTGTTCCACACATCTGCAACTCTGGAGAATTTATTTTCATAATCATTTGAATATAACGTGTCTGAAATTGAAGCGAATAATAAGACATTTTTTTTCTCTCTTTTGCCTTCCCAGCTTTGTTTCTTTGATGAATATCTGATCAGACATTAGTCAGGCACCTTATTAATTAAGCAATGTGCGTTTCTGTGGTTACACTCTGACATTAGTATTAGTTCTGATGTGAGTTTGTTCGAGCAGCTTAGACTTGCTAGGGTAACATTTCTCCTTTGCTTTCTCCCAGGGGTCAAGTTCCTGCTGAGGCAGAACTGAATTACTTACAAGTTGCCAAATTATTAGAGATGTATGGAGTTGATCTCCATCCTGTTTTTGTAAGTATGGCATTCACAAATGAGGGTAAAGTAGATGCTATTCCATTAAAAATATATACAATTTTCTCCTCTCCTCAAAGTGCTAACTCACAGTGTATGGTGTGATACCTTGGATGCTGTAAATCCTCTGACTTTTTACCCAAGTTTCCATCTTTATGCGTGAGCCTATAAATGTCAGCAAACTAGTCATCTTCAGGCATGTCATGATAATAATAATCCTTGCATTTGACATAGCGCCTTTCACGCTGGGGGACATCTCAAAGCTCTTCACATGATTTATTGTAAAGAATAGTGACTATTTTTTCAGTGAACACCTACAAAATACAGAGTCCAACTCTGATTTTGTCACACTTACTCTTTGCACTCCAGTTATTTCAAGGCCTACTATAATCCCTACTATAATTTGGTAATTTCATAGAATCATAGAATCATGCAGCACAGGAGGAGGCCATTTGGCACATTGTGCCGGATCTTTGAAAAGAGCTATCCAATTCAATCCCACTCTCCTGCTCTCTCAGCATAGCCCTGCAAACTTGTCCTCCCCAAATAATTATCTACTTCTCTCTAAAAAGCTGTTATCGAATCGACTTCCACCACCCTTTCAGGCAATGCATTCCAATTGCGAACAACTCACTGTGTGAAAACATTTTGCCTCCTCTCCCCTCTGTTTCCTTTTAACAACTATTTTAAATCGATGCTCTCGGGTTACCGACCGATCCACCAGTGGAAATAGTTTCTCCTTGTTCACCCTATCGAATTCCCTCACAATTTTGAAAACTTCTATTAAGTCTCCTCTTAACCTTCTCTGTTCCAAGGAGAATAATCCTAGCTTCTCTAGTCTCTCTTGATAACTGAAGTCCCTCATTCCTGGTACCATCCTGGTAAATCTCCTTTGTACCCTTTCCAATGTCTTGACATCTTTCCTAAAGTGTGGCCAGAACTGAACACAATACTCTAGCTGAGGCCTAACCAGTGTTTTATAAAGATTTATCATAACTTCCTGACTTTTGTATTCTATGCCCCTATTTATAAAGTCTAGTATTCTGTATGTTTTTTTAACAGCTTTACCTACCTGTCCTGCCACCTTCAAAGATTTGCTTATATGAACCCCAGGTATCTCTGTTCCTTCACCCTCTTTAAGATTGTACCATCAGCTTATATTGCCGCTCCTCATTCTTCCACCCCGTTCACCACCACTCTCTGCTTTCTGTCTCTCAGCCAGTCTGTATCCATTTAATACCATGGGCTTCTATTTTGCTGACAAGTCTCTTATGTGGCACTACTGACATTAGGCTGATTGGCCTGTAGCTCTCAGGTTTATCCTTCTGCCCCTTTTTGTATAGTGGAGTAACATTTGCAACCCTCCAGTCCTCTGGCAGCACCCCGGTGTCCAAGGAAGATTGAAAGATCGTGGCCAGAGCCTCCGTTACTTCCACCCTTATTTCCCTCAGTAACCTAGACCAGGTGCCTTATCTACCTTGAGCATCGACAACCTTTTTAGTACCTCCTCTCCGTTTATTCTTATCTTATCCAATTTCTCTACCCTCTCCTACAATACTGTGGCGTTGGCTGCATCCTCTTCTTTTGTGAAGACAGATGCAAAGTACTCATTCAGGATGTCAGCCATGCCCTCTGCCTCCACAAGAAGATTTCCCCTTTGGTCCCTAATTGGACCCACCCTGTGTCTAACTATTTATTCTTTATATGCTTATAAAATACCTTAGGGTTCCTTTTTATGTTACCCATTAATCTTTTCTCATACAATCTCTTTGCCTCCCTTATTTCCTTTTTGTGTTCTCCTCTGTACTTTCTATATTCTATTGGATTATCTTCTATATTTTGGACCTGACATTTATCATAAGCCTCTTTTTTCTGTTTTATTTTAATCCCGTTTAATTTATTTCATGACAAGTGGTCCTAGCCAGTGAAAAGGAAAACCTTGGCTAAAACGAAACACAATACACCCCCAGAATAATGCAGTTCTTCATAGCATGGATTTGATTATAGCACAATTGCAAGAGCCTATGTACTGTGTGTAGTCATTGCCAGCTGCTCACTGCACAGGAAGTGACATCAGCAGAGATCCGATGACCTAGAAGGCAGCCATTTTATCTTCTTGCGAACTAAAAATGGCCATCGTCTGAGTTATTAGGTCACTGCTAATGTCACTTCCTGCTTTGTACATGCACAGTTCATAGGAAAACATCAGCTGCGACCTAATGATCCAGAAGCCTGCTTCATTCCCCATCCCTACCCACTCAACCATCAGCCACCGTGCTTTTAGCCTATCTGCCCCACTTTCCATCCACATCTATTCCATCCTGGATTCCTCCAACTCTCTTCCACCCTCAGTTTATTCAAGATCAATCTCAAGACTTATCTCTTTGATTGCATGTTTGGTCATCTTGCCCCTCCCCAACGCCTTATAATAATAATCCTTGCATTTGATATAGGGCCTTATCACGTCTTTGAGTCGTCTCAAAGCGCTTCATAGAATATACTGTAAAGTGAATTGACTGTATATTTTTGGGTGAAACATGGCAGCCAATTGCCAGTCATGGATTAGTGATCACATGCTTTTAAAAATTCTTACCCTCAGTTTGGATGCAAAGCCAGGATTGTTAAGCGCTTTGGGATGTCCTCCCAACTTGAACGATGCTATATAAATATAACGTTATATTCTTGCGTATTGTAAGTCAGTCTTTCAAGGTGCAGAATCTGGGCGGCACGAAAGGGGTAAGTTGACTGACTAACACCATAACACCACCGGTGATGTATTGCTTTATTATGTGGTTTTAGCTGGTCAGACTCCAGCAGTATCCCAACACACACTCTGGAGTCCCCAAATCTCGGCTCTTGCCAGCCTGCACCCAATACTTTCTGGAATTAGGTAAGCAGGATGCATCCCTCCAGGGAATGAGTGTGCATTCCAGTCCAATAAATATCTCTGGAATTTCCATGTGTAGTTGGGATGCATGGAATTTTCAGTTTGGTTGGGATACTCTTTAGCATGGTGATGGGTTTCGACATGTGTCAGACACCTGGATGACAAAAAAAATCCCTTTACTGCAAAGTGTATTAACTGTGTATTTGTCGGGAATCAGTTCAGAAAACTGTTCTTTCTGTAGAAATAATAGATATTATTGAAGGTTATAAATATGAAACAATTGAGAAGTATTTTAACACCTGAACTCCAAGCCTTATGTGAATAAAGCCTCTCATTAAATTCCAGGGTGAAAACCAGACTGAGTATTTTTTAGGATTAACACCAATTGGAGTTGTTGTCTACAAGAACAAAGTCCAGGTTGGAAAGTATTTCTGGTACGTGAGTCCAGCTGTAATTGTAAATAACTGTACCTTATTTTGGTGTTTTTATTTTTGTTTGTTTTCACTTGATAATGACAGGACACTGACTGCTTCATTGCAGGCCAAGAATCACCAAGGTGAATTTCAGAGAAACACAGTTTGAGCTAAGAGTGCTGGGCAAGGATGTAAGTACAACAACATCTTGCAGTCATATAGCACCTGTAATGTATTGTTAAGTCTCAAAGCACTTTACAGAGATGTGGAGGAAATCCAAACAATATGAGAAGTGGAGGAAGGGGATAGGAGGGAGTGGACCATCATGCAGTCAAAGAGGTAAGATTATAGAATGGATTGAAAGTGGAGCGGAAGGGTGTGAGGCACAGGGATTTTGGTGGAGGGTTTTAGAGAACATGGGCATTGTGGCTAAAAGTATTGTAGTAATGTGGCTTTTTTCCCTTCACCAGCTATTCTTAAGTGGGTTTAATATTTAGGTTGTGCTCACTGTGGGCAATAGTGTGTAAAGAGGAATTCTTTAATTAATACCAAAAATCTATAATCCTTTGCATTTGATGTTACATAATCAAGGATATCTACCTATAATTCCCTCTGTACACATTTGTTTACACAAGCTGCAAATTAGACCCAATTGTCCTTCTATGTTGGGATTGCATGGTTAGTTGCAAATTATGAGCAATTTCTGTGCTGTTGAATGCGAACCGGTGGGTGAAATTTCTAAAAGAAACTTCATTCCAAACCCCAAGAGAAAGAGTAGCGCTTCATCCCAACTGCTCTGACCAGTTTCAAAACCCTCCTCCCTCTCCAATCCCAAGGGTTGAAACAATTATGCCTTAACCCAGTGCACCGCCCAGTCCCAATGCACACACAGCTTTCATGTTAAACCAGAATTATTTATTAAGTCAAAGACGTCCAGGAAACTACACCATGTAATTGGCAGAATGCTAAACATCCAAGACAGATTGAGGATAACATCCCTTGATGAGCTCTCATTGCTGTGAGTAAACAAACCTGGGCCCCAGTGGATCAAACTCTGTGTTGGAACTCTGTGTGTGTGTGAGAGAGAGAGAGAGAGAGAAAGAAGTGCAGATCAGTTCCATGATTTAAGATAAAATTACAAAGGTGAGAATTAATCATTATGGGGCGATATTTCATTAACATTCAGTCCCTCTGCCTATCATTTTTTGAGGGGTCAATTGGGTGCCTGATGCACGTGGAAGCTCGACACCATGCTTAAGAGTACCAGACCAAACCACTGAGAGTCCCAAATGTACAGAAATTTCCATTTATCTGATATGAAGTGCACATTCTTATCTTAGTGGGATACAGATTTATCCTGGGGAGTTCAGGAACAGGTTGGCAAGAGCCAAAGTTTGAGGACTCCAGTTATACATTGGGGTACTGCTTTATTTAACATAACAACATGTAGGAGCAGGAGTAGGCCATTCGGCCCTTCGAGCCTACCCCACCATTCAATCATGGCTGATCTTCTAATCTAACTCCAGCTAATAACCTAACCCTGCCTTATCCCCATATCCCTTAATCCCTTTTGCAATAAGAAATCTATCTATCTCAGTCTTGAATATGTTCAAGGACTGAGCATCAACAGCCCTTTGGGGTAGTGAGTTCCATACATTCACCACCCTTTGAGTGAAGAAGTTCTTCCTCAACTCAGTGCGAAAGGGCTGGCCTCTGATTTTAAGGTTGTTTCTCCAACCAAGGGAAACAATCGCCCACTATCTACTCTATCATGCCTTTTGATGATCTTATAGGTTTCTATATTCTTCTATATTCTAGAGAATATATGCCCAAATTGGTCAGCCTATCCTCGCAACTCATCCCCTTCATCCCTGGTACTAACTTAGTAAATCTACGCTGCACCCCCTCCAAGGCAAGTACGTCCTTCCTTAAATGAGACCAAAACTGGACACAGTATTCCAGGTGTGGTCTCACTAGGGCTCTATAGAGTTGCAGCAAGACTTCCCTACTCTTATACTCTAATCCTTTCATAATGAATGCTAACACACCATTCACCTTCCTAATTGCTGCTGCCCCTGCAGACTAACCTTCTGTGATTGGTGTACAAGGACACCCAAGTCCCTCTGGACGCTAACACATTCTAATCTCTCCCCTTCTTAAAAAAAAACCCGCTCTACTGTTTTTGCTACCGAGGTGGATGACTTCACACTTCCCTACATTATACTTCATCTGCCACCTCCCTACCCAATCACCTAACCTATCTATGTCTCGCTGCATTTTTTTAATGTCGTCCTCTGTGTTGACACTTCCTCCTAGTTTTGTGTCATCCGCAAATTTAGATATATTAACTTCGATGTCCTCATCTAGATCGTTGATGTAGATGGTAAATAGCTGAGGCCCAAGGACTGATCCTTGTGGCACTCCACTAGTCACATCCCGCCAATCTGAAAAGGACCCGTTTATCCCTACTCTTTGTTTCCTACCCGTTAACCATTCCCCAATCCACGTTAATATGCTCCCCCCAATTCCATGGGCCCTTATCTTTTGGACTAACCTTTTATGCGGCACCTTATCGAATGCCTTCTGGAAGTCCAAATAGACCACATCCACTGATTCACCCTTATCTAGTTTACTGGAAATATCCTCAAAAAACTCTATGAGATTTGTCAAACATGACTTCCCTTTTGTAAAGCCATGTTGACTTGGCCTAATTATATTGTGCTCCCCTAAATACTGCACTACCACATCCTTAATCAATGATTCTAAAATGTTTCCTATCACTGATGTGAGACTAACTGGCCTATAGTTCCCCATCTTTTCCTTTCCACCTTTTTTAAATAGTGGTGTGACATTTGCGATCTTCCAATCCATCGGGACTGTTCCAGAATCCAAGGAATTTTGGAAGATCAAACACAAGGCCTCCACTATCTCATAAGCTACATCTTTTAAAACCCTGGGATGCAAGCCATCCAGACCAGGGGATTTGTCACTTTTCAGTGCTAACAGTTTCCCTAGCACCAATTCTCTACTAATGAAAATTTCCGAAGTTGCTCCCTGTCCTTATCCCCTTGGTGCATCTCTATTGTAATTTAACCAGCTAAAACCACAGAGCTTACCATTGCAGAGTGCTGGTAAGCTTCCTGTTGCTTTAAGCACTCTGAGACGCCATCCGGCGTGGAGGGCGCTATATAAATCAAAGTTGTTGTTGTTGCTTGTCAAGCCAGGACCATCTTACCTATTAAAAGATTTGGCTTGTAGGGTTAACAAGAGCCGAACTTGCAAATTGCTATCCCTCAGTACCAATCCTTTGATTATGTGTGTGGTGTGTTGGGGTTGAAAAGGGCAATTTCAAGACAGACCAGGAAGCCATTTTTTTAAATGAGAGGATAATTAACGATTGGAACAGATTGACAAGAATGATGACTGAGGCCAGGTTACTGAACAAACCTTGATGCTGTGATGGAAAGACAATAGTGCAGATATTCTGGAAGGATAAAATCAGATGGGCCAAAAGGCCTTCTTCATCTGAACCTCTCTCTTGTAATCTTGTGATCTTGTGCTGGTATTCTTATCCAAGCTCCCAAATTAGCCAGGCTGGATTTAATTCTTACAACTCTAATTTTATTTAACAATTTAACAAGTCAAGTTTAATTCTTGCACATGTGTCCCCTTGACTTGTAAGTTAATGTCCTGAATGTTTATCACATTGTCCTATCTATTGTACAAGTACCTCCTTTTGTTAGATACATTTGTCCAGTATGTTTTACATGTATGTAGCCTTGAGCTGTATGTTATGTATATATGTCCTGTATGTACTTCATAGTTGTCAAGTTGACAAATGTTCTACATTCATGTCACCCTGATAAGCAGAATCTGGCATCTCTTTCTGTGGTTAGATTCACTGTAATTTGATCTGCATACAGTATATGGATTTCATTCCACATAAGTGAGAGAATTGCATGGTTTAGTCTGACTCTTTCTCTCATTGTTCAGGTTCGTTTCAATATTTGTAACCACATTCTCAAAAAAACTTTTTTTTAAATAAAAATTTGGGAAGAAAGATAGTTCAAAGCAGTAAATGTGATGTTTTTAGACCCATTTTACTTACTGCTGTTCAATATGCTTCCCGTTGCCTGGATCACACCAGCCCGGATAGTATAACAAGGAGTGTTCTCAGTCTCTCAGACAGAAGCAGAAGGAAAGACGATTGTCACAGAATCAATGAATCCCCTTCAGGGAGCTATTAAAGTAGCAGAAGACGTAATTAAAGAGCTTTGTCCAGCAATCTAGACCAGGCCCTATATTGTTCCCAGCTCACTTCAAACAATCAACTCGAATCACATTTAAAAAAAAAGTTTTTAATGTTACTACAGCTTGTTGTAAAGATGGCAGATGATGTGTGCATTGTGAGTAGGTTTTTCTAACTCTTTACTTGGTAAAAGCTCCAATAGGTATTGACTCATTAATTTCATAACCTCAAGGAAAACTGTTCACAAGTCAGTGTATGCCTGTTTTCTTTATTTCCCCCCCAAAATAACCACTTTAATTAACATAATCATTCGCCACAGAAACACTGGCTGCCTTTGGAGCAGGAACCTGCATTCTTCTGATACACAAAGCTCATCTCACCCCTGGGAAGATCTCTTTCTGAGTGATGTGGTGGCACAGCCTTACCAGAGAATAATGCCCAATATAAGCTGTTCAGACAGCAGCAAGAAACACAAGCCCCCAGTTGAAGCACTGACGTTACCCTCACATCACTTGTGTTATTGGATACTTGGTTTCCAACAAGTCTCTATTTTGTGCTGGTTTTGATCTCATCATGTTTCATATGTGATGTCTCCATAGATGTGGGGCTCTCATTGCAGGAGTCCTTGTAGGAGTCCTGTAGCTCAGTGGTTAGAGCACTCGCCTCGTAAGCGAGAGACCTGGGTTCGATTCCCGGCAAGGTTAAACCTTGAGCAAGTTTCTTTACTCCACACACCTGATAATAATCCCTCAAGAGAAAAAACAATAATAAAAATCGGTCGCTTCAATCCACAACTGTTTGTGGGACACTGCTGTTTGCAATTGGCACTGTGTGCGTTTCGCCCACAAATATACAGTCAATTCACTTTAGAGTCTATTTTGTGAAGCGCTTTGAGATGTCTAGAAGACGTGAAAAGCACTATATCAAAATGCAAGGATTATT